CGGCAAAGCGGGCTGCAGAGAGGCAGGCGTGTTTTCTCACCCTGCAACCCGCCAGGCAGACAGGGATCCAAAAAGGAGGAACTTCTGAGGAAAGACAATGTCATCTCTGGGGCTCCAGGAAGACAATAACACACACACAGAACTTTTAGGAGATTTATTCACGCAAGAGACAGCACGTAACGTCCCGCTGTAAATGGCACAGCATCGGGATAGGGACACGGTGGTGAGCGGAGAGACCCCTTACCTAACAGGGCTTGTCCTTCCTGGGGCGGGGGCGCAGACATCAGTCAATAATTATTGAAACCATAACCACAAGTGTCAGAGGTGTGTACAGAGAGCTGGGGAGAAGGAGGAGGCCCCAGGTGGCTCTCCACAGGTCCCCGCATCTCAGGGAAGGGGTCTAGATGACCTCCCTCTGCCTCAGAAGGCGCCTGCAGGAACAGTGTGGCTTCCTCCGGCTGCCACCTGTGGGGGCCTGTACACACGCTCTGCTGACACAAACTGCTTGGTCCCCTGCGCTCGCCCTGCGTCCTTCCCTCCTGCTGTGCTTTTACATCTCCCCTGTGTTACTGACTTACTTGTCTTTGCACCAAGTGTATATTGAATGGACAAAAGCAAATAATTGTCTTGTATTTTCAGTCTGTCAACACAGGGTAATTAAGACCCAGAATCTTTTTTTTTCATGGCACTATCAAAATGAATCAAGGTCAAGTTTAAAACATTAAACTGAAACCAACAAAAATAATTTTAACAAGAATAAATTCCCAAACCCCAAATTTGAGTTACTGCAATCAGTAGTATAAATGCAGGATTCATAGAGGGGTGGACGACGATTCATTCAACAAACACTTATTGAATGCCACCTGTGTTCCAGTCACTGTGCCAGGTGCTGGAGCTACCCAGTCCCTGTGCCAGGACCTGGCTGTATAGCAGTGAAAACACAATGATGTCACGGAACTCAAATGGGACTGGAAAGAAAGACTGAAGGGCTTTAACTAATCCCATGTGAGTCTTCGGTATGTAGCATGCATCTAGCCCTGGGTCCTCTCATATCGAGAAGGACTCTGATGAACCAAACAGTGTTTGGAGGAATACGGTGAATCCCACGGAGGTCTGAGAACTGACTGGAGGACCGACGGTGAGAGGAGATGCAACAGCGGTTTTCAGCTATTGAGAGAGTTGTCTATGCATCCTTGATCCCAAGGGCCCAGGGTCCCCTTGGGGAGAGATTACCAGGCAGCAGGAATAGTTTCTCACAAGGGAAACTGCTCCATGAAGGTAGGGGACAGTCTTGGTTCCCAGGGAGAGCTGTCCCATCCTCAGAGCTGCTGCAGGAAGAAACTGCTTAGACCCAACTAGGATATTAAGAGATCGGACTAGTCCCTGAGTCCAATCACCAGTTAAGTCAAGAATTCCAGTTAATCCCCCATTAATCAGGGAGGCGTGTTTAGGAGAATAGGCTTTGGATTCTGGTCCTGGACTGGGGCAGATGGCTGCAGCCTAAACCTCGTGCCCTCGCCTGTAAAAGAGGGGCAGTAATAGTTCCCACCTATTCCAGTCCCGGGGATGAATCCAGGTGATTCATATACGTGCCGCTGATACAGCGCCTGGCCCTTGGCAAGTCATCGACACATGCTAGCTATGGGGGACGTTAAGTGCTTGTGTTTTATTTGACATTCCATTTATTTAGAGAAATCATTTTGCTGTGAGTCTCTAATTTTGCAATCTTTTATGTCACATTTATCAAATCAATTATTACAGCAATTTAAAACTATAAAGTAGAAGCACTTTAGAGAAATTTGAAATGTTTTATCCTCTAGAGAAGTCAGAAAAATAGCAGCACAAAAGGGGACATTTAAGGATATAATTAAAGAGACTTGTGATTAAATCAAAGGGAAGCCGGGAAGCTGTGAACGTATGGAATGGCTGAGCGAGGCGGGGGCAGGACAACCCGACTCCCCTCCTCTTTGGGAGACCCCCATCAGACAGCGGAAGTGAAAATCAATCCGGCAAACTGATTTTACGAGGACTAAATCTGGCCAGACCAATTTAATTTCCTCCTGTGACAGAGAGGCAGGCTTCGGCGACATGGAGAAGCAATAGCTATCAGATACCGTTGGCTTCAGCTGAGTCTTTAATTCCAGCCTGCATAATAGCTGAATCTAAAAACTTAACTGAATCCTGCTGGCTAGCGGGAATGACCTCCAGAAATGGGAACTGAAGGCTCGGAATCCCTTTATGAGTAAGGAGGCAGGAAGCTCTCTCCTTGGTGGCACTGACAGGAAAACATGCCCCCCCCCAATATTTACTGAACACCTGTCAGGTGACACACACCCCGTTGTAAGACATGCCCCCCATGGTGCCAGCACAGAACACATAGAGATGAACAGTCCACCCCCTCACAGCTCCTGAGGTAGGGGTGGCCAGCAGAAGGTAACTACAATTTGACACTAAAGGAGTGACCAGTTGGCTCAGAAATAAAGGACCTTTGAAGACAGAGGGAACTGGGGCATAAGTAAGAACTACGAAAGGGTTGAGCGAATGTGTAGACCAGGGCAATTTAACTGAGTCCTATCTACTTGGAATAGACCACCTCCGAAGAGCCTCTCTAGCTTTAGAATTCTAGTGATGAAGCCACATTTGTGATTTTTACAATCTGGACTCTCCCGAATCCAGCCCTTCTTTTTGTCCCCCTGTCAGAAAAGGGTTGATGGAAATGAGGGGGGATGGCATTCTGGCTTCCTGTCACAACATGTTCACTGTGGGCAGTAGGTGCCCCCAGAAGCCTGGGACTGAGTTCATAGGCGGGGCACTGGTGGGGGTGGGTGAGACGGGGCGGGGGGGGGATGGGGGGAGCAGGGAAGAAGAAAAGAAAAAAGAACCCTGGCTAGTCTCCCAGGGTGGCTGAAACCCAGGAGGTCTGTAGTTTTCTCGCATGACCACATTAACTAAAGATGTCCAGTTCCCAGTCTGAAATAGTCACAGGAACCAGGCCATTTTTCTAAAGACCGAGGGACTGCCAGGGTACCTCTGGGGGGCCCTGATCCCATCTTGATTTCAGAAATCTCGCTCTCCCCTGAGGCTGATGGAAATTTCTAGGGAATTGAAATGACCCCACCCACCTAAGAGTCTTGCCAATTTTAGGCTCCTCGCTGTCGTGGGGCTGGGGGAGCTCTTCCTGTGAGGATGCTGGTCTGTGGGAGCACCTGCCTGGCAGGGCTGTCCATGTTCGCAGAGGTACCACAGATGAGCGGGCTTGTCCCAGGCCCCACCTATTTGCGGGGACCAGATCTCATGATGATTGATGGGATCTGACTCAGGATGGCAGAGTAATAAATAATAAGCTTTGGAAATGAATAAATATGTACATATTTAGCCAGCACATAATAACTCTCTCACACCCATAAATATGAACTCAGACAACACACACACATACCATACACTCCCCAGTCACCTAGGCAACCACTCCCTGATGCTGTACTTTGTTCTTTTGCACACTAGATCTTCTTAACCTTCTTTCCTCTGAGTGCAGCTCTGGCCTCTGACTCCGCAGAGGAGAGGCTGTTACGTGTAACACTAATCAGGTCCACTTTAGAGGCTTACGTCTTATCCTCGTTCTGACACTGAATTCAGCCATCATTCAGAAAGTGGCTGAAAGCATCCGCAACACAAAATCACCGCTCTGATTGCTACTGTGAGTCAGAAAAATTAGAGATGAACATAGTCTTATGCCTCGAACCGCTCTCACTGACAGTTCCCCCTTTTTTAAAAAAGGGAATTGCAAGGCTCATATGAAAAGGAAGTGGCTTTGGTCCTAAAAGATGAAGAGACCAATTCTCAAGATTAAAGTGACAGCTTTCATTTAGGAGGCATGGATGGAGGATTATTGATCTTTTAAGAGTAGTCCACATTTCTTTCCTCTTCCTTACTCTATACATTATACTTCAAATTAACCTCTTTTTCTATTTTAGATGTCATGATTCAAAAATACCAATAACATTAAGGAGTCAGGAAAAAGTTAAAAACATTTTAATCCAAATAGTGACCTGGTTTTTGACAACATCCATGTAATAAGTAGTGAGATTTTGCCTTTTTGCCTCACCAACAGGTCTCACGTCGCCAAAGGCCAGCCTGTGGCAACATTAGTCCATTCTCATCTCTATCCTGCGGTTATCAGTGTCGGCTAAGACATAATAATAATAACAATAATAATAATAATAATAATAATAATAATAATAATAGCACGTGATATTGTGACTGGGCCAGAAAGTTCTCTGCACAGCCTTCCCTCGGAATTCTGCTGAGGGGAATTCTAGGTGGGAGGATGGAGTTTACAGTCCTAACCACGTCCGTGTCCTGCCTCCTGCAAAGCGCTGAGGCACCGGGGTAGGGAAGGAAGTCCTTTCCTGTGACACAACTGCCTCAGAAGTGAGCTTCAGTGCAGAAGTGGTGGAACCAGAGGGTGTTTATTTTGCCCCGAACTAGGGTTCTGGTTTCAGAAGCTGTGGAGGGGATACCTTCCCAGCAGGGAGAAACGGGGAGGAGACCAGGAGGACTGAACCCAGACAATCTGGGTTCAGTGCATCGTCTCTAAGTCCAGAGAGAGAGTGGCCAGGTGGCCAATGTATGGAGAAGTGACCCCGCTGGGTACACAGGAGGCCAGAAAGTGACATGTACCAAAGTGGGGACGGAGGTGCCCCCGGGTGGGCCAGGAGGGGGAGGGGGGTGTGCGGGGGGAGGGGGTGCTGTCCTCCCACCCCAACCCGCGCCAGCAGAGAGCCTGCCCTGGCGGAGCCAAAGAAGCGCTGGTTTCTCCAGCCTCTGTAAGGGTCCCTCTCTGACCCTGCTCCCTGGGCCTGGGTCCGTCAGCCTGTGCAGGCGCTTACTCGCTCGTCTGTCCGTCTGCCTGTCTCCCTCCTCCCCTCGCCCCACCCAACCCGCTTCCCACCCTGGACCCGGCCTCTCAGCACCCGGGGTCTGCAGGAGCCGGGCTCACTCACCGGCGTGCAGGCCGCCCGCCTCGGGGCCGCTGTCGGGGGCGGCGTTACTGGGCGGCGTGTCCGAGTCGGTGTAGGTGAGCCAGGTGGACTCGGTCTCCCGCGTCCAGCTCTCGTAGTAGCGGGGCTCGATGGCATCGGCCCTGCTCCCGCCGCAGCCCATCCTCCCGGGCGGCGGGCTCACCGGGCGGCCGCTGGGCTCCCGGCTGGGGCTGCGGCTCAGCCCCCGCGGAGCAGTCTCCGCAGGCGAGACGACGGCGGCATCGCGTCCCGAGCCCTCCCGCACCGCAGCCAGGCGCCCGCCGCCCCTCTCCCCTGCGCCCCTCCCCTCCACCCCAAGGCCCTCCCCTTCCCCACCTCCCCTTGTCCTTGCCGCTCCCCCCGCCCCGCCCCACCCGTAGTCCCCTCTCCCCGCACCCTCTCTGTCTGCGCCAGAGCTGCTGGGGTGTGGGGTTGGGGGGGGGGGGCGGCACAGAAGGGGGCGCGCACGGCCCAGGACGGAGGGTGGGTGAGTGAGGGGTTCCACCAGGGGTTCAGCCTCTAGGGCCCGAGTTATGACTCTCAGGCTCTTGCGCATTTGCCCATTCACCCATCCACCCACTCATCCATCCAGCCACCCACCTACCCAACCGCCCTCCCTTCCTTTATCCTTGGGTCCAGTCCTCCATCCTGGGGAGAACGGAAGTACTTAGGAAGGGACCCCAAGCTTTCTGCCACTTGTTTCAATAGCAGTGGCTACTGCTCACCACATTTCCTAGTTCAAACAGAAAGAGAGCCTGAGTCGGGAGGTGCCGGGCAGTTCTAGAAAATGAAAGAAGGTCCCCAGAGCTGGTTTCAACCCGGGACAACTGGGGGACATTATTGCTGCTAAAAATTCAGGAGTGCTGCCCCCGTTATGTCTTAGCTGGTTTGGAGAGCAGGGAGTGGGACCTATGACTTCTGAAAGAGTCGGACCAGACTCTGTCACTAACACCCTTTGCAGTTCCGCCACTTCCTTGTCCTACCTCTCTTCTCAAGAAAGCAAAAGACCAGGAACCTGTGACATCCTGACACCCTCTCTGGACGGGGCTGCGAGGCAGAGCTGGCTTTGCTGCCGTCATTCCAGGGTGCACTGCCCAGCTCTCAACCTTTCGTTCCCTGGTGCACACCTGGCCCAGACTCGGATGGGCAAAGGAGACGGGTTAGAAGAATACATCCTCAATGACCAGGCACTGCCAGAGTACCTGGCACTGAATGTTTTTCCTCATTCAACACTTAGTAAACACCTATTATGGCAAACCACTGATAGTAGAAATGATACCAATATAGTATGTCGTGTATATTACCCACTGTCTATAAACTGTAGTGTGTAGTGTTTAACACATCTTATAAAAGATACAAAATATAGGTGCACTATTCATTATATCCTATATAATTATAGAATGCAGACTAAAACACATTGTCTATAACATTCGGTATGTAGCATCCAATGGATAGGCCAAGCCTAGGGCATTGCATGGCACACAGCAGGCCCTCGAAAAATGTCCACTGAATAAATAATCTTTGTAGTAACTCGGTTCACTTCAATTATTACAATTTAAGCTAAAGAAGATCCTGTTTAGGGCAGAGCTGTTAGCGGTCCCTCTGGCAGGCACGACTCAGAATCTGTGAGGCAGAAGTGAGTCAAGGCGCAGAGACCCTGCCCCAAAGGCTGAGCCTGCTCCCACCCCGGAGCCCAGGCTGGTCTTTGCCCGGGAGGCTTTGCCTCTGCTTTTAGGATGGCCCCAGCAGGTGACCTCCGTTGGGCTGTGTGAGCTGGTGGTGGTGCAGTCATCCAGGATGTCCTTGTTGCCCAGCCCAGTGGAATTCAGGTGCCCTGTGCCCTTTTCTTCTTTGTGCCTGAATAGTTTGGTTTAAGAAGAACCAGCTTTCTGGGACAGAGCATTCTCAAAAGCTTCTGCATCCCTTGGTTTTAGGATGAAGTGCTCCTTTGTGATGTCACCACCTGCAGCGTAGTCCAAAGAGAAAGAGAGGCTGCTTCAGGAGGGGCCAGGCAGTTCTAGAAAGTGAAGGAAGGCCCCAGAAGCTAGAACAGGGTGAGCAAGGGAAATGATGTGAGCATGAGGGGAGGTGGAAGAGGAGGCCGGGCCAGCCCATGCCTGGAAACAAGCACTACAAGGGGGTCGGACTTTGTCCTAAGAGCAGTGGGAAACGCAGGAGGGCTTTAAGCCATACACTGCAAGCGTCAGATCTGCTTTAGCAAACTGTCACGTTGGGGGCATGTGCAGAATGGGTGGGCAGAGGGGTTCTGGGGAAGAGAGGCAATGATGGTGGAGGATTCGAGGAGCTGGGTTGATGGGATTGCCGATTATGAGGCGAGGAATACTAGAGGCAAACTGGTATATCAGCATGGAGAGGTCTGGCAATGACAGGCCCATGAGGAGCACTGTTCTGATCGAATTGGAGAAGCCTGTGAAGTCTGAGTTTACATTTGTAAAGCAATTACCTTTGTTACCGGAACACAGCAAAAGTAGCTTCATATATCCTAGCTTTCGTGGTCACATGGCTCCAAATCCAGAACTCCAGAGAGAGGTCTCAGCTAGAAAAACACATTTCGGAGGCATCAGCATGGGAAAGATATGTGAAGAAATATCTCTTTCCCCAAATATCTTGGCCTTTCCTATTTGGTCTCCTAGAGCTCAGTCTTCCCACTTCCTGATGCCCCATTTCCAGCTCCACCTCTTCTGCCCTCAGCCTGGCTCCCTTTCTTAGGAAAGGCAACTATTTTCTGTCCCAGCATCTGACTCCAAGTTCGATATTCCAGTCACTGCGCAACACTCTCTTCGGGTTCACCAAAGACTCTGTGGATGACGTATCGTCCACACTCAGCTCTGAAAGATCCTCCAGGTCGTCCTGCCTCAGTTTTCTCACCTGTGAATGGGGATAATTACTTATGTGAGGATGTGCAAACAGGGCCTGGCACACAGAAAGCCTCCATCGATGGTAGCTGTTGCTGCACTTTTGGAGCAAGGAGCAACCATGGCATCTGTCTCCCTTAAGGAATTCCTGAAATCAGCGTTTTCACATGTCTGTGAATTTGCTTAGCATGCTGCAGACGTTTGGTAAACGGTAGTCTTTTGCTATTTCTCTCCTTCCTTTTTCCTTCCTTTACAATGTTCCTACTGACAGCCTTTCTGCAAACAAAATTTCTCACCACCATTGCTACATGATCATTATTCATGGAACAACCATCTGAGTTGGTTTTTTTTCCATGGAATCTCTTCTTGCTATCACATGACGCCATAAATTCAGTGAAATTTTAAGCCCCAGAAAACTCAGAGACCAGTTGACCCAGTCCTTTGATTTTACCAGGTAGGAAATCACAGCTCAGAGAGGCCTGTGGACTCACCCAAAATCACAGAGCCTCTGGCTGATGGCCCTGCATTCTTTTAATTACAACTTCTGGTGTTGAATTTTGTCCCAAAACTTCAGGGATAAATGTAATAAATTATCTTAAACCATCTCTTCAGACTCTGTCTTGACTGGCATGAATTGGTCATCTTTTTCCATCAATTTTTAAAGCAACAACAACAATAACAACAACAAAAAGAATTATTCTAAAGGGGGGAAGGTCATAACAGGGAATTGAAAAGCCTTAGCCAAAGCCACCAGAGCAACACAGTTGATTATGTTTTTAAAATCTATCATCTAATGGTGTTTGTCACCTGACAGGATCCCCAAAATTATGCTCTGTGACTTTAGACCCTTTGTGGTGAGTGCCACCCCTGGCTCATTGCTATGGAAACCGAAGCAGTGGGCCAGGGCCCCAAAGCCATTCCACCTCCAGGTCCTGTTTCTGTGTCTCTGCCCAACTATGTAAACTGAGAACGGAGCCCTTCAGTGAGGCAGTCGGGGTCCAGCACAAAACGGAAGCCCCACAGGACCCCAAACCTGCCGTCGGGATCAGTCATCTGAAAAAGAGTAAACATAGATTCACTATGTTTTTCCAAGTGAAAAAGTAATACAAATGAGCAGCAGCAGCAATAATTCTGACCAACAGGTGCAGACCCCAGGTAAGTCTCTCTAGTCCTGGATGCCCCCGCCCCCCAGACACACATACTTCATGCAGTTTGCACTGAGTGCCCCGCCCCACCTCGGTCCTCAGTCCTGGCTAGCTGGCACATCCTCATTGAGCTACAAATTGTAATTTTGTGGTAAAGGATGAGAGCTCAAAGTTACACCCCAAAGCACAAAATGTGATTCCATCCCCCACACCTGGGTAAGAAGGCCTAGGGAAAAATGACACTTGTCATTTGACACAGGCTCGTTCATGCATCTCTGGCCTTTGAAGAAGGACCCCATCCCCTGGCGGGGAGAGGGGGCACATGGTGCACCTGGAATTCAGGCTTTGCAGGTAGACGGGGTACATAAGGGAAACTGAAATATTAAAATGGAAACAGGATGAATGGGTTTCAACTTGGTTTAAGACGGTAGAAAAGGTGAAAGAGAAAATTTATAACAAAAAAGTAATTGGATACATTACCACAAATATTTATATAGGAAATGAAATTTAAATGTGAAACTAAACACTATAAATTCTCCCTCCACTAATCCTTACACAAAATAATTCTCTTGAGAAGAAAGGTCTGTTCCTTTGGGTTAATTCTAAAGAGACTCAGCGAGTTTTTTCAATGTCTTCAGAACTTGTCTCAGTGCCTGCATTAATGTCCAGTGGCACTTTATCCTGCCCCAGATGGGAACCCAGGACAAAACAGCTGCTGCTCTTTCCAAGTTTCTGACTTCATTACAGTTCCTTTCATTGACGAGGTGTAATGAATAACTGGTTTGTTCTCTCACAAGGGAATATGAGCCATGTTCCACTGGAAAGAGCCTGGAGAGAACAGTCTGGTGTTGATGAGGTGGATGGGAATTTCTTTTTAATGACAGAACAGTTTCAGGTTGTGGATAGTAACAGGAGAAAAGGGGACTGAACTAGAGGTGAGACTAGAAAGCCATATTCCCACAGGACTAATTCCAAAGAAAATTCTGAAAACCCAGAGAAATTTTGATAAAACATCCCACATGGCATTACATATTCGTAAGGATCTTCAGAGCCATTGTATGTCTTCAGTCATTGCCCTGGGTGGGCTAATAATATTGTTCTCTGCACTTCCTCCTCACCTGGAATAGGGAAAGGTTGAGAAACTTGCCAAAGGTTCCTCTACACGTCAGGGAGAGGATGACTAAAACCTAGATCTCCTATTCCACATGCATGGAGCCTTGTATTTAGGAAAAAAGGAAGGGCAGACTGATACTTCT